CACAATCCCAGTGAAAATGCTATCAAACATTCTCATATAAATTGGCAAAGGGACTTTAAAATTTATATGGAAAAGCAAAAGACCTAAAATGATGAAAATAATTTTGAAAAAGAACCAAGTTGGAAGATTGACACGATCTCATTTCAAAACTTATTATGAAGCTACAGTACTTAAATATAGGCATATTTACCAGTCTAAAAATTATCCCATATATAAGACCAATTGAGTTTTGAAAAAAAAGCCAAGGTAATTCAATCATGAAAAAAAAAAAATCTTTCCAATAAACAGTGCCAATACTGTTGAATATCCAAATAAACAAACCTCAACTCTTACAACGTGCTGCCTCACAAAAATTAACTGTAATTAGACTATAGACCTAAGTGTCTTGCGGGACAAAATGTCTAGAATAAGAGAAGCATATCTTAGTGACCCTGGGTGACACAAAGATTTTCAAACAGGACACAAAAACCAAACAACGAAAGAAAAAAATGATGAGTGGGACTTCATCAAAATTAAAAACTACACACTTCAAAAGATACTGTTAAGAAATGGAAAAACAACGTGCCCAGGTGGTTCAGTTGGGTTAAGTGTCTGCCTTCAGCTCAGGTCATGATCCCAGTCCCATGTCAAGCTCCCAGGGAGGCTGCTTCTCTCTCTCCTTCTGCCTGCTGTTTGTGCTGTGTCCCCTGTTTGATTTTATAAATAAAATATTTAAAAAAAAAAAAAAAGAAAAGAAAAAAGAAAATGGAAAAACAACCCCTAAACTGAAAGAAAACATTTGCTGTATAAAGGATTCTTAGAACTCAAGATTAACAACTCAATTTTTTTTAAATGAGGGAAGATCTGAAGAGACATATCACCAGACATCGATGGCAAATAAGTCCTTAAAAGATACTCAAAATCATTAGTTACTAGAGATACACAAATTAACTCACAGTGAAATACCAGTATGCTCCCACCACAATAGTAAAAACTAAGACTGATGATACCAACTGTTAATGAATGGAACTCACATACAATGCTGGTGGGAAGATAAGATAGAGTAACTCTGGAAAACAGTTTGGTAATTTCTCAAAATGTGAAATGTACATCTTTGCAATTTTTTTTGTAAATACCTAGGAGCTATTTTGCTCCTAGGTATTTACAGAAGAGATATGAAAGCCTATTTTCATACAAAGACTTAGCAGCTTTATTTGTAACAGCCAGAAACTGGAAACAACTCAAATGTCCATCAGCAGGTGAATGGATAAGGACATTTTGGTACATGCAAACTTCAACAATAAAGAGAAATTATTGATACACGCAGTGTTGTGGATGAAGGTCAATGTTATGACGTGGAGTGAAAGAAGCCAGGCACAAAAAAGAATCACGACATGATTCCATTTAATAGAATTTTAGAAAACTGACTTAGGTTCTTTCACAAAAGTGACAAAAAGCAGATGTATGGTTGCCCAAGGAAGGGGTCAGAGGGATGGATTAGAAAAGGACATGCGGAAACTCTTGAGGAGGATAGAAATGTTTCTTATCTTGATTGTGATGATGGTTTCACAAGTCTATGCCACAATAAATACGCAGTTTAAATATGTACAGTTTATTCTACATCAATTATACCTCAAAGCTAATTTTTTAAAAGTTTATCCCAATTGTGTAAAGTTGTATCTATAATGATTCCATGTTATATCTCCTATGATAGCCTTTTTGAGGAGAGGATTGTTCATCAGTAAATATTCTTTAACTGACTAAATTAATATTGAAAGACTTTTCCCTACATAAATAAAGTGTACAACACAGAGCACAGGCATACTCGGATTCAGTCTGTGTGGTGGACAGACTACAGATGGCCCCCAGCATTCCCGCCTGCTGGTATTCACACCTTTGTAATCCTTCCCACTCGCGTGTGCATGTTAATTGTCACTTGCTTCTAGGCCATAAAATACAGCAAGGGTGAGAAAATGTATGTGATTATGTATACATGGTAACATATGCCGGTCTCGCTGGACTCTCTCTCTCCCTCGCTGGCTTTGAGGAATCAGGCAGCCATGTTGGGGAAGCCCCTATGAAAGGAACTACAAGTGGCCTCTAAAGGCTGAGGGCAGCCTCCAGCCTCAGACCAGTAAGAAGCTGAAGCCCTCAGTCCTACAGCCTCAAGAAATTGAATCTGGCAACAAACGTGAGCTTAGAACAGACCTGTCCCCAGATGAGCCTCCTGATGAACCTCCAGCCCTGAAGGATCCTTCGATACCAGGCTTCCAGCGGACCCGCCTAAGCCATGAGCTACGTAACCCACAGAGACTGTGAGATGACAAATGTGTGTTGTTTTAAGCCACTAAGTCTGTGACAATATTGTTTACACAGCAACAGATAATTCCCTGGGTCTGTGTGGAGGGAGAGCAGGGAAGGAGCAGAGTAGAGAAAGGGGAAATGCATTTGATATTCTTATAGTATTTCCTACATCTAAATACAATGATAAATTATTATCAACCACAAGACAAAAAATGATCAGAGTTAGAGGCAAACAAATTATTTCTTCCAGCTTTTCTTTGGCTGAAGGAGAAAACGTGAAGAAACGTGCCATATGTAAGCTCTAACACATCTTGTACAACCAATGAATAAATGCAAGTAAAAAGAACTGGTCAAAAACCCTTTAACTTACTTTCACAATATATTTCATTCTGCTTTTCAATAATGAGGACATCACCATTTAAGAATTGTAGCACAATCACTGAAATGCAAGCAAAGCCCTTTAATCATCTTCACTGACCACCCTTCTGGGAGGAACAGGAGTTCGTCAGAGGACAACCCTTTCCCTCTCTTTCTCTTCAAAGACTCCAAAGAGAAGACATTCAATCACACCACCTTCAGGCACTCTGAAACACCACAGTCAGCTGTCTCTCTGGAAATGCAGGAATATATGTACTCTCCTATGATTTTTAAAAAGCTAGCTACCAGCTCCTACACTCTTTTCCAGTTCCCAGCAATCATTCCAACAGGCCGTCTGTGAGGTGCAGAAGCAGTGAGGGTTTGTGTAGTTCTCGGGTTTTCTATGACTACAATCCCCAAGCCTGGCAAGGATGGTGATACGTAGCCCAGGCAATCATCACCCTCAGACATTCTGTTTTCTGCTTTGGTAGACTTTCAGAAGAAATAATGGGGATAGCATGGACAACTGATGTGGTCTCTACCTTCTCTCTTGTTTTTTGCAGTGTGTGGATTTTGATTTTTGCTGTACTGTGGCCTTATAAATTAGGTCAGAAGGGAAGTCACTGGAAATCAGGCTGTGTCTGAGAAAAATGATGTCAAATTTAGTGTTTGTGCCACTGACCAACACACTTGGCTTAAAATAAATGATTTTATGAATAAAAATTTGTTATATAAAACCAGATAAAGTAACTTAAATTTTTATAATAATTGAAATGAGGAAAAGGATCTTGCAAACACTTTTAAGTCATCTAAATAAACATCTATTTAGCCTATGAAAGCCTTGTATAGTATACATACAATACACAAAAATAATTCCACATACTGCGTAGGCTTATGTCTGGCCTGAAATTAATATGCTAGCCAAAAAAAAAAAAACAAAACAAAACACATTTCAATATTTAATAAAAATTGTTTGCCTTCAGAGAATGTAGATAAACGTTATGTGTATATGGGAGTCAGGCAAGAGAATGATGGATGATGGCCAAGTAGTACATGTGGGCAATCCTGGTTTTTTTTTTAATTTCAAAAGTAATTGAAACTAATCTTTCTTTTTCTTTCAGTAAACTACCTTTTAACAAATTTAGTTATATACAAAGTGGGGTCATTCCTGGCAAAAATAAGTAAAGTAAGTAAATAACCAAATGTTAAGAGAATTAAGAAATTTGAAGACATTACTAAGAAATTTCTTTCCTTCTTTTTTTAATTTTTATTTTATTTTTTAAAGATTTTATTTATTTATTTGACAGAGAGAGATCACAAGTAGGCAGAAAGGCAGGCAGAGAGAGAGGAGGAAGCAGGCTCCCTACTGAGCAGAGAGCCCGATGAGGGGCTCAATCCCAGGACCCCAGGATCATGACCTGAGCCGAAGGCAGAGGCTTTAACCCACTGAGCCACCCAGGTGCCCCATTTTTATTTTTTTTTAAGCAGCCTGTGATGCGGGGCTTGAACTCATGACCCTGAGATCAACATCTGAGTGGAGATCAAGTGTCAGACGTTTAACCAACTGAACCACCCAGAGGCCCCAGAAATTTCTTTATAATAATTTAAGAAAAAGAAATCTTTTAAGTGTTATCCATCATTATTTGAACATTTTCTCTGTATTAATAAGCCTGTGTGTGCTAGAAAGATAAAGAGCAAGAATGAGAGAGAGAGAGATTAACTGACTGCATATGTGAAATGAAAGTAAGTTTCTTTTTTTTTTTTCTAAGATTTTATTTACTTATTTGGCAGAGAGAGAGAGAGAGCACAAGCGGGGGAAGAGCAGAGGGAGAGGAAGAAGCAGACTCCCCCTGAGCAGGAAGCACCATGAAGGGACTCAATCCCAGGACCCCGGGATCATGACCTGAGCCGAAGGCAGATGCTTAACCGACTGAGCCACCAGGCGTCCCTGAATATAAGTTTCAAAGCAGCACCTGTGAAGCAAGCGTGTAAGGGTCTAGCAGAAACCAGAGCAGCGATAGAAAAGTTAAAAGACTGACCATGTGGGTAAGATTCAGAACTTCCAACTTTTTTATTCTTCTTCCCACCTCTGCATCCTGCTTCTCCACTGCCCAGCAAGCACCTGCAGCACCGTGTTCTCCAAGAAACCAGAAAGGGGCCTTCGAGAAGAAGGACATGACTCATAAACCTCATGACAGTCCTCCCAGGAGGGTAATGAAACAGTCACCTCCCTGCAGCTCCTGGGCTCTGGAACGGGAATGAGGAGCTGTACTGAGTGGTTAGGACAGAAGGATGCACAATGGCAGAGACCATCAAGATGGCCCTCCCAGCGCCTCTTTGCCAAACCTCGATTTGCTCACCTTTTCCCGAAGCCGGATGTTATCCCACACCTTGCTGCACACCATACACTCGAAGGCATCGATGTAGTTGTCCTGGCGGACATCTTGCACACCCCATTTCCGTTCCCTGAGCGCTGCGAGAAGTCGCTGATTGGAGACCTCACCCTTCAGCTTCCACTCTATGTAGGCCTCGTACAGGCGGTCGTCGTGGTCCAGGTGTCTGATGTAACTTGCCAGCTCTCTAGGGTGAGCAAATTCCGATACGAGAATAGCACTTCTATTACTCGGGAGCCAGTCTGCAATGCTGGGGGACCCGTAGTACACAGGGACTACCCCTAGCTTCAGGGGTCTCCAGAACTTCTCAGTGATGTAGTCGTCACACACCGCGTTCTCGAAAGCAAGGATAAACTTGTACTGTGCAATGATCCTGTAAAAGCCATCGGCATCCATAGAGGCTGGGTTTTTCAGCTGCTGAGGGAGATCTTTGTTTCGTAAACACTCCCCGTAGGAATCGACCTCGATGTAAGTCATCAGCTCTCGGACATAGCTGTCCCTGTCTGACGGTGGGTCACAGTCTGACTGGACGTACACTAGCGGAGCAAGTCTGCTTCGAAGGTTGTTTTTGGACCTCAAGGGGACCAGGTATCGGAGTGACTTCAGGACTTCTACGCCCTCCAAGTACTGGGTGGTCAGGGGCAAGTGGGAATGCCGGCTGAACGTGGCAGTGTAGTTGAACAAGGTGATGACTGGCTCGTGGAAGAGCTTGTAATTGTTTTTCGGAGACTCTTCGTGAAAAAGGGCCCAGTCATGATGGGCTTTCCGAGGCAGAGGTAAGCTATTTATATTAAAGTCAGTGCCTAGAAGAAGAAAAGAAAATATTAGTATGTCCAAGAGAATTTTAGTGTCCGACTTGGAGTCTACCTGGTAAGATGAGAATATGGAGAAGTCCGAGGCTACAAAGAAGCATGTCACAGTGGTTGCAAAATGCCTGGCAGTCAATCATGACGCTGTCACCCTGGCACCAAGGAGAGGGACCCTCCTTCTGATTTTATGTTCAGAGAAATGGGAGCAGTGTCTAGCCTGGTTCTAAAGGGAGAATTCATTCCACTGCCTCTAGCAATTGGCTTTTCTTCCCAGACGTGTTGTCTAAGAGAGCACAGGAGAAATAAAGAGATAGATGATTCTTCAAAAAAGAAAAGAGCAGGAGAAAGGAAGCCAGAAAAGGGGAAAGCAACCAGCTTGGCAGACTGATGCCCCGAAGAAAAAGGGAAATCATGCAAAAGTCGCCAGAACAAATATGCAAGATAGATATTTTTTTCACCCAAAATGATCGATTTCAACAAAGTGCAGTGACTCAATCATCCTCAAAATGGTAGACAAGAGGCTTTTTAAAGACAAAACGGCTGATAACAGCACTATGTTACAGACAGCTACAGGATGGACATGAATTAACCAGCACATCAAGAAATGAAGAAGGCATAACAGGATTATAATTATGAGTGATTCTAGCCTCCACAGGATTAATTGGGAAACCTCTGAAACACGATCATGGGCAGACAGAAGTGACAGATGTGGGGAGCAAGTTGTTTCCTGACAGTGTGGATGGAGACTCGATCAGGAAGGAGTTATTCCTAGAACAGAGAAATGATTAAGACAATACCACAGGATGGGACACCAAATTTCTGTGTTTCTAACACTGATGATTTTGTGGCCCACGATTAGAGTTTTTAAGTTTTGACTTTTCAAATGTAAGGAAATGGCAAAAAAAAAAAAAAAAAGACTCCATTTTCCACCATTCATTGGGGGCGGCGGTGGGGGGGGTAGTGCAAATAGATGCTTCCCATGGAATAAAACATATTCTCCGGTAAAATTCATAGCAATTAATTATTTCATGCCAGTGTACACTGTCTCAAATAAATATGTACTCTTTGGTGCCAACAGTACATATTAAATGAGAAATCAATTAATCAAGAAAGGCTTTTAAACAAAGACAGAATCAAGATTATGTTGCAGGATATCTACTGAGCCCAGGGAAGTTGCTGGACAAAGTACTCCTGTCTCGATACCAGGCTTTTATTCTCAGTGAACAGTAATAAAAGACGAACATTTATAAAAATGGTTATATCGGGGCGCCTGGGTGGCTCAGTGGGTTAAAGCCTCTGCCTTCGGCTCAGGTCATGATTTCAGGGTCCTGGGATCGAGCCCCGCATCAGGCTGCTTCCTCCTCTCTCTTTCTCCGCCTGCCTCTCTGCCTACTTGTGATCGCTGCCTGAAAAGTACATAAATAAAATCTTAAAAAAAAAAAAAGAAAAAAAGGAACGCTCATCTACATGCCCAAAATGGAATGGCATATCGTGTTAGGTGGTCAGAAAGGTTCACAGACAAACGTGAAGATGTGAAAGAGAAGCGAATTTGAGGAGCAAGGCAATTTATCGCAGGAAGTGGTTGCTGCTTTAACTGGCCAAGGATGGGAATGGGAACCTACCCGCTTGAGTTAGAACAGAAAGTTTCCACTGGAGGCAGAACAAGAATCAAGGCTGTTTGCCTGGGAGAGAAAGAACTAGAGTCCACAGGCGTCGGGGGCAGGGGTCAAGACATAAGATTAAGATAGGAGGGGTAGGACAGACACCTAGGTGGCTTAGTGGGTTAAGCTTCTGCCTTCAGCTCAGGTCATGACCCCAGAGTCCTGGAATCGAGACCCACATCGGGCTCTCTGATTAGCAGGGATCCTGCTTCCTCCTCTCTCTCTGCCTGCCTCTCTGCCTATTTGTGATCTCTGTCTGTCAAATAAATAAATAAATAATCTTTTTTTTTTTTAAAGATTTTATTTATTTATTTGACAGAGAGAGATCACAAGCAGGCAGAGAGGCAGGCAGAGAGAGAGGAGGAAGCAGGCTCCCCACTGAGCAGAAAGCCCGATGCGGGGCTCGATCCCAGGACCCCGAGATCATGACCCGAGCCGAAGGCAGCGGCCTAACCCACTGAGCCACCCAGGCGCCCCTAAATAAATAATCTTAAAAAAAAAAAAAAAGATAGGAGGAGTATTGAGTAAAACAAAAGTGGGTCTAGAATTAATGGCAGGGCCGGGCACAGGTGTCTTGAGCAAGGGACTCGGACCCCAGTGGCTGTCTGCTGCTACTGTATGGCACGTGGGTGATTTTTCATTTGCCTCACCCTGGATGTGCCGCTGCAAAGAGCCAAGACGTGGAACAGAGAAACAGCAAGACAACACCCACCTCCTGTGCTTCGGAGAATGGAGAGGGCCTGACTTCCATCTCTGCTCATCCATATCAGTGAAGCAAAACAGGCACCAACAATGGCTATGTGTAGACCTGTCTGCGGCCAGTTTCTAGGTCCACTCAGATTGTGTTTAATAACGTGAATGGGCCTCGCACCTGGTACCAATTTGAGCCATGAGCCCTTCATTCATTAGAACTAGGAGATGAAGTCTTATCGGCTCATTATACCTTCAGCCAAGTTGTTTCTGGAACCTCGATGTTGGAAGGAAGGGGAGAAGAGCATAGGGTCCCTGCATATGCAATCTATAGTAGTAAGAGAAGCCTGCAGATCTAAGCAAGAAAAGTTTATTTATATTCATGCTCTAAAAAAGAACACAGCTTTTTTAAAAATGAGAGTGTAAGGTTCTAGCACATTCCTCTGAATTCTGTTTAGCTTGTAGGAGGGGGGCCATCTTAAAGTGGGGGAATGCCTCTTTAACAAAGAGGCAAGTCAGAAAGACCTAACTTTCCAGAAACATCTTCCATTTGTTACCTTAAAAAGTATTTCCTAGTTACTTCCCCACAATGCACGCATAACACACACAGACACACAGACACACCCCAAATCACATTAAAATAGGGGTTTTTTATCAGATTCTTCCAAACCAAAATTTTCTGGGAAAGATTTAAAAAAATATGGCGTTTTGCCCAGTGAGCTCCTCCCCTAAACCTACAGTTTCAGATTGTCAGCACCAGAGAACAGTGACATGAGAACCATAACAGACCTAAAATACAGTTGACCTTTGCATAACACAGACCTGAACTTCAGGGGTCCTTACATGTGGGTTTTTTTTTTTTTCCAATCAATATAGAATACAGTACCATAAATGTATTTTCTTTTATGTTTTTCTTAACAACATTTTCTATTTTTAGTTAACTTTATTGTAAGAATATAGTATATAACACATATACAAAATATGTATTAACTGACTACTGATATTATCAGGAAAGCTATTAGTAGTTAAGCTTTGGGGGTCCAAAGTTAGACTCAGTTTTTTTTTTTTTTTTTAAGATTTTATTTATTTATTTGACAGACAGAGATCACAAGTAGGCAGAGAGGCAGGCAGAGAGAGGAAGGGATGCAAGCTCCCTGCTGAGCAGAGAGCCCGATGTGGGGCTCGATCCCAGGACCCTGGGATCATGACCCGAGCCAAAGGCAGAGGCTTAACCCACTGAGCCACTCAGGCGCCCCTAGACTCAGGTTTTTGACTGTGTCAGGGGGTTGGCGCTCCTAGCTTCAGCACTGTTCAGGAACCCACACTGTTCTCCACTGAGGGGATTGTGGCCTAGAATGTGAGTGATGATACGGGACAATTTCTGTATGTGGCTCAAGAGACAACTGAGTGATTTCGCTCCCTCCAGCTCCAGGGCACTGCCCACGATAACAAGAGTTGGAACCCTGAAAGAAATAAAAGTCAATGACACTATGGAAAATCCCTAAAAAATGTGACTAACTGGCAGGCGATCCGTTCACTCGTTTCCACAGTCATCTTCACCCGCTCTTACATGTAACAACTTTGGATTCAAATGTTCATTTCTCGGGGTGATTTTGTGTTTACTGAATACTGACAAAATCATTTGTCCCTTGACATTGAACAGCTGACGCACAAGATCTTAAGCACTAACGTGCACTGTAAAGGGAACTGCGACTTGAATACAAATGGAATAAAATTAATGCCGGCAAAGGATGCCAGATTGCTAACTGTGGAGACGGAATTTGAAGCGGCAGACGAGCAGAAGAGCGACAATACTTTATGATAGGTTTGTGGGCTCCTTTTCTTCTGCAAGGGCATAGATTCCTTTTTTATTATTCCCACCCAGACTGGTGAAAACAGAAGGCAACATGTTTGTCACCCCACTTTACTAACAAAGTTGGGAGTCATTTATCTGGAACCCAAAATCCCTGGTTGGGACCAGAATTTTCAAAAAGGCTGGTGCTAAAGGACCAGAAAGATCACTGGTCCCTGCTGCAATGCTGATTCTTTTGAATGACTTGCTCCTGGCACTCCCAGGCACACCTACCAAAACGTGACCCAGCTTAAACCCAGCCCACCCAGGAAGACACATGCCTTCATCAGGAAAAGAAAAATGCCCCCCACCCCAAAATGTCCTCCAGAAATAATCCTTGATTTTAAAAAGAATTCTGTCCTAAAACTGTGTACCACACAAAGAATACCTGAGTAAAGGGGCACCTCATTAAGCATCTGCCTTCAGCTCAGGTCATGATCCAGGGTCCTGAGATTGAGCTCCGCATCGGGCTCCCTGCTCGGCAGGGAGCTTGCTTCCCCCTCTCTCTCTGCCTGCCTCTCTGCCTGCTTATGATCTCTCTCTCTCTCAAATAAATAGATAAAATCTTAAAAAAAAAAAAAAAAAAAGAATACCCCAGTAAAGGAAACTAAAACTTTGGGGAGAAAACAATTTAGGCCATATATTACCATCCAGAATTTGCGTGGTTCATGGTTCTTTTTAAAGCCCATGTCATATGAATTTTCTCAACATACCCACACAATCCCCATCAGGTCATTTATTTTCTCTAAGGTTCTGTGTGTTAACTGAAAATGGTAAGGAATGGTGCTGGC